AGATACACGCTGATGCCCAGCTAGTTTTCTCGTTTATTCAGGGGTGCCAGCCCATGACACTGCGCGGTCTACACCCGAGTGGGTGTTCCTCACAGACATGGCCAGAGGTGTGCCTCTTAGGTGGTTTTAAATTCAGTCAGGCTGATAAACAAAGATGAATCATCACAGGTAGGCACGCAGGCCTTGTGTGCAATATTCTTTTTATGAAAAGTGAGGCCGGAGTGCAGTGCTGCAGTGGGACACTGGCCTAGCATGAACACGGCCCTGCAGTCCATCCTAACCCTCGAGAAAAACAGAACTCTGCTGTGGTTCACCTGAGCAGCCATCACGCGGGTGTGTTCTGCACCTCCAGGATCGCATTTCTTTTGAACAATGAACGGCTAAACAATTTCCCCACTATTCCTGTTTCTAACTGGGGAAAAAGGTACCGTAAACTAGGTCAGCATATTGCTGGCAGAATAAACCTTCTCAGCTCCTACTGTTCCTAGTCTATCATGGCTAACACTCCGTAGAATCCTTGACCTAGCTTTCCTTTCTTTCTCCTGCTAGGCACTTATCCAGGCACCCCAGTTCAGCAAAGGCCTCCTAGAAGTATCCATGCTCCCCAGCTCTGCCTCCTTCCCCACTGCACAGACGCTTTGTGCTGAAGGTGGGGGTGGGGAGGTGGGGATAGGGCTCTAAGGCTGCACACACAATGCTACACACCATAGTTCAACGAAGACAAGGGAAGTGAGATCCACTCCTTTACCCAGCACTGGGACAGCAATTCTGTATATAACCTACTTTTACTCTTAGCCTAACTGAAGCATGGCCTTTACAGGCAATACCAGATATACTTTGGAGGGTAACTAAATGGGGGGGGGGGGGAGTGACAATAACATACTTCTAGTCTCAGATGTTCCATAGAGGATTTCTTTGTTTGGCCAAGCCAACACCTCGAATTAACAATAAAAGTCAGCATAACAGGACTGGAAAGATGGCTCAGTAATTGAGAGCAAAGACAGCTCTTCAAGAAGATCTGGGTCTGATTCTCAGACCCCACATAGTAGCTCACTGCCATCTGGAACCCTCGTTGCATGGAACCCAACACTACCTTCTAGCCTCGGCGGCACTAGGCATGCACACGGTACAGACACATATGCAGGCAACACACCATACACATAAAATGATTTTTTAAAAAATAAAAGTTAAGCTGGGAGGTGGTGGTGCGCCTTTAATCCCAGCAACTTGGGTGGCAGAGGCCAGCGAATCTCTGTGAGTTTGAGGTCAGCAAGAGCTAGTTCCAGGACAGGCTCCAAAGCTACAGAGGAAAACCCTGTCTTGAAAAATAAAAAAAACAAAACAACAACAAAAAAGCTAATATATTTCCCCTACAGTTCTTCACAGAGGAACCAAGAAAAGACCTCAGAACACACTGGAGGTCCTGCAGAACACTGTGATAGAGAACTCGCATATCCAGTAAGAACTTGGCACAGCTTCTCAAAAGCAAACACCAAGTGGTAGGAGAGAGGCAGCCACAGAACCTTGAAGTTGACTCTTCCTTTCAAACTAGGAAACGGATACCCTCTGTAACGATCAGTCTGGTGTAGGCTATACATCTACACACCAGCTCAGAGTGACTTTCAGTTACCATCCATATGTAGGGCAGTGTCTGCTATCCGAAGTGTGTAAGGCAGTGTTCCTAACACTTGAGGGCCAGCAAGACAACTCAGAGGGGAACCCTCAAAACCTAAGATCGATGGCCACAACCCACAGAAAGGAAGAGAGAACAGACGCCATATTGTCTTCTGGCCATACAAGCACCATGGCACACGTGCCTCTGCACACATGAAAATAAAAACTCAACTGAAATAATGTTTATAAGTAATAGAAGACTCAGTGACAAAAAAGGGTTAGGCACTGTGTCACCTACCCATAGATTAGATTTAACCTCTGAAATAAATAAACATATACACAGGTTCTTTTAAACTACTATTTAATCAGTTTTAAAGACACACCAATATGAAAAAAAAAACATGTAAGTTAAAAACACCTTTAGATGCCAGCAATCGGTCACCAGGCAGCTCTGGGGACACGGACGAACGAGAGTGGCTAGGAACCGTCACAGCACAGCTTAACTGACACAGTGACGGTTTCAATTCATCGTATGATGAGAACGGATTTGTGAGTTGGTTGGAAAATAACACTTCTTTTAAAAAAACATTTTGGAATGAAAAAAAAAAAAGCACAAACCACCACACAATATTCTCCGCCCGAGAAGGCAAAAGGAAAGGTAATACTGTGAACGCTGGCTGAGTGGGAGCTGAGGCCCCACTCAGGTCAGGAGGACTCTGCCAGGGTCCACCTGGAAGGCGAGGCGGATCTGGAGCCAGGCACCTTCACCTTAACACGACGGGGCTTCCACATCACAGGAGTCCGTGTCCCTTTCATTCCTATCACCTCACGTGGTGTTCCTTCTGGTGTGGAGACACCTTCACGTTAAAAAAAAATGACAAAAGATAGAGGGGATTGTATTTTCATTCAACACAGGAGTCTTCTGTATGTGACCAAGTCAGCAGCGCATGGACTTTACTGACGGACGGGTGCATACAGAACCAAAGACATTTAAAGTGGGGGAACACACATCTTTTAAAAATTTGCCCAACACTCTACATGTGTCCTTCCCCCTACAAAAGACAGAGAAGATCAATAACAAATCAATCTCTCAAAGAAGTTAACCCAAAATCGAGCCAGTCGGGAGCAGAGGCTTAGCGACTACAACAGGCGGCAGCCAGTCACTCTTCCATCCCAGGCATGCCCCTGAGAAATGTTGAGTCATTTACCTTCCTTGCTCTGTAACTTCTGACTTTATATTATATTCCAGTGTTGGTTACAGTAGCAAAATGTAAGAAAACCTAGCGAGAGGTGGCTGTGTATCACTGGATCGGTTTCAGACAGGGGTTGGACATAGATCTCTGAAGTGTTATTTATAGGACAGAGAGGCTGTCCCTTGCTTTATAAAAATGGCACTGAGAGTTCACCGCCAGCTTTAAAGGCAAGACAAATTAGCTGGCGCACAAATGTGTCATTAGGTTCTGTTTGACAAAGTTTCCCCAATCAACGACCTGCGGAGCATCTTGTCACTTCTTCACTGGAGTTTGCATTGTGTTAAAAAACCTATTAAAATAAATTATCTGGAAACATACAAAACATTATTAAGCAGCCTACTAATTAAAATGTAACTGGCTGCACCCTCTGTACAACAAGAGCCTCAAAAAGCAGCTTAGTCATTGATTATAAGAGCATTCCTACAAAATATTGACGTGGAAAATTTCATTTTAAATGTCTTTCAGTAAGGAGAGTCACTATAAATAGATTTGACTACACGGTGTTTCAGTAAAGTCGCTGTCGAGAACTGCTACGTCCTAATCCATGAAACTCAAAATTCAGAGTGGATTTGTTTTCGACGCAAATCTCTTCCTCCAGCATCCGGAAGCCTCTCTGATGCAAACTTGCTCTTCCAAGGGCAGTGGGAAGCAGAAATTTAGCATCCAAGGCAGGAGGACAAATGATCAGCTAGTCCTCATATGTCACTAGTGGAGTGTAACAGGTATGGATGGTCCTGGGGCAGCTAAGGCTACAGTCACAGTGGAAGCTTGAATTCTGCACCTAGGTTCAACTGGGTGTGTGAAATTTCAGCCAAAGTAGGCTATTAATGCCGGAATATAAAACCCTTCAAAATACTGGTTTATAACTATGCATTTGAGCTGACTCTCGGTGGGCGCGCAGTTTACCCTCTCAGGAAGGTGCCAGCCATTGTAGAGAACTTGTAGAATCAGTGAGCTGATGCCGATGAACATCTGGGAAGTACAACTGTCAGATCTGCTCAGGGTTTGAAGACTGGGGAGGTACAGGTTTTAAACAGGGAGGGCATTTGTCCTAAACATTTAATCTAATCTTCAAAAGTAAAGCCATTATGGTTATTCTGATGGCAATTTAAAATTGCTTTCTGTCATTTAAAATATAGAATAACCAGATTCTTTGAATGAAATAATTGTTGAGAAGATACACGCTGGTAATCCTGTCCAGTGAAATCAGCAATATATGGGCAGTATTTAATGGAATAAATCCTCTCCAATTTTACTCAGCAGAAACAGAAACTAAAGAAAGGAAAGGGGAAATACATGTTGCTACACATTCTGGGTTAATGGATTAAAAGGCATTCTTCCTGTCACTAAACAACCATTCTTTTAAAAGTAAGCACCTTAAATTTCAGTAATAAAAAGCAGCCGCCAGTAATCGTGAACCTGCCCTTCAGGATTGGGGGAGTCGGGGATGAGCCTCGGTAGGGACCCTGATGGGGATTGGATCGGGTCGGGCAAGGACGAGCCAGTCCAGTTAGGACTTACAGAAAATTGTCATCACTTTCTAGATGGCGACTTCAAAAGTGGTTATGTGTGGGAATACCCTGCATGGGTGTCACTGTGTAGGGACCAACATGCTAAGACATAGCGACTGGGCACCTCTAAAGCCCAGCCAGCCTTCTCTCCAACTTCAGGTATTCCAGAAGCTAAGCAAGCTTCCTCAGTCACTCTGAGTTCTAATTAAGATGCATTATTTTAAAAACAGTGGAGCTGAGACACATCAAATTAACAATTATTGTTTCAAGAAAATAAAATTGAGGGAAGAATATTTTTGTTCTATTTTCCCTGAGTAGTACAGAATCATTATACTGTAGTATAAATATAATGTAGATGGACCCTCTCTAGAGAGACTTCATGACACTCTAGGGATGGAAAAACAATAGAAATACACACTAAAACCTGTTTTGCCGGCTAAATGCAGCAAGCACATATTATAATGACCTCCTTCACAATTAACAGCAGCACAAACATTAATTTAAATCCTTCTAAGTAGAAGCAAAAGAACCTTTACAACATCCCAAAGTTATGTTCATTTTATAGAACATTCTATAAAATGAAATTATGTTCATTTTATAAAACATAATTTTTTGAGAAAAATTGAAAACAGTATTTATTTTATTTTAGATTGTATAATTGTGATTATTTCTCCAAATTAGAAGACAGCCATCCAAGAAAAATGAACTCATAAATGTAACTGGTAGCTGCAGAAGAATGAAAAAAAGAACTCAGTCAAATCAGATGTGCCATGTAGCATTTTTTCGGGAACTAGAACAATGATCATTGACTTGCATTTTGGATGATAATACTTTGATTATAAATTCTTTGAGAGGAAACAGACAACAGCAATTCAAGCGTATAGGCCCCAAAATAAAATGTGTTCAGGCAAAGAAATAAATAAATGGGGGTTATTTGTAAGTGGTCAGAGCCACCCAGCAAGCCTTCAGCAGTTTCACTGGCTCTCCAGCTTTCCCTTAGGAGATGCCTAGGGTTGTCTCTGAAGCCCTGGGGTTGATAGCTTTCTCTAATAGTGACTGGATTCTCCAAGGTATTTGTGAAATCGCAGACATTCAGGGATGGATACTTTCCATAAACACTCTTTTCTGTCCTCTAGAATTCTACAGCTAGGCTGATTTCGACATGCACGTGGGAAAAATAAAAAAGTATTTACCTGCCTTTTCCCTGGGAGAGGCTGGGGAGGACCCTTGTAATCAGATGCAAACGACCTGCCTTCAGAAAAGCAAGTGCGCCTGCAGCACATACCTCTAAAGTCCTAGAATGCCACACTGGCCTCTCTCTGTACCACTGTGATCCTAAACTTTACACCACCATTGCTGGTCCCTCCTTAACTTTACTCACAAGTGTATTAGTAAACAAAAACAAACAAACAAAAACAAAACCCAACTCATCGTAGACTGACAATTTGCATTTCATTTGAAAATGTAAGGCAAAACCAAAACAAATTTCACAAAAATATTGGTCAGTAACAGAGAGGCCCAAAAGCCCAGCCTTTTGCACAAGGCGGAACCTATAGTCTATGGCTCAGTTCTGTGGCCTCCAATCCACCCCTTACTCACAGCTGCTATACCCCACAGCACCCTGCTGTTGGATCAAAGACACAGCCAGTCACTCAGGGCAAGAGTGAACCATAGGAGGAAAACACATATTTGTTTTGATAGAATCTAACACCCATTTTTAACAAGAATTTAACGGAAGAATTTTAATGCATGAAGTTAAAGAATGTAAAACTAATTTATTATTTTTTTTTAAAAAAAATGTCACTTAGACTCACTCAGCAACTAAGTTTTCTTTTCCCTAAATTTTTCCCAAATAGCAGTGAAAATGACAGGGACAAGACACCGATGAACCATACAATAACCTTAATTACTAGAGATTTCTTTCAAAATCTTCAAATAATCTACCACTGTTACTCTTAAAATCTCTTCTAATTCTATGTAATTTATGCTCAAGAGATTTCTTCAGAAAGTCCACAGTATTATCAACGTATTAAACTTTTGTGTCTCTCACAGTCACACTGATCTTGGACACAGGATGGGGAAGCCTCCGCCTGTGGCTCCAGACCACACAGTGCTTTCTTCGTTCGGTCCTGCTTACCTCGTCTTCCCTCTTCTTATTATTTTTTTCCTTAAGAAAATAAGCCTAAAATATCACACTGCCAACCTTTAATTATGTTTAAGAAAGTCCTCCTGAAAGGGCCCCCTAACTGACACCAGGTAATTAAGCTCCCAGCAAAATAAGCTACCTGTAATTTAACAGCCCCGACCGTTTACAGTCCTACCACGTGTGCGGTCCTCTGAGCTACCTTAAGAAAACCCTTCGAATACTGAGATGTTTATTGCATTTTTCAAGTACCCACTATACACTATCTTAAATACCCGGTTTAAACTCCGCCTCAATTCCACTTTGTGGCACACCGCATCAAATATTGAAATCATCTCTTCACGCTAGTTCGCTTGAAAACACCAACCGGGAACAACATCTTAGGGAACAGAAGGTTTAAGGCAAGACATTCATTTGGGAAAAGGTAACCTTACAATCGTCCAGATTGACATGACCACTCTTCCACCTCTTCAGGGCCTCGGGATACGCAATGTACATTCAGCGACAGGGCACACATATGACCTTGAGGGCATAGGCTGAGGTCAGAGTGCCCTATCGAAACATGGAAAGATTTTGTATAAGGCGTGACCCACAGGAACATGGCATGGGAAGGGATATTTCATTCCATTTCCAATCTGGTGTACAGAAAATCCCCCATCTGAGACTGTCCCATTTCCACCCAGTTAGTCTCTGGAAAGGCGTCAAGACTAGTTTCTGTTCACAGGCGGGAAACAGCCACCCCGCACTCTCCTGGTCACTGCGTTAGTGACGAGTGTCTAGAGACAGTGTCTTGGTTCTGACTGCAAACATTATTTGTGGTGGAAAAACTGTTCTGTCCCAGAGAATTTTCTCTTTCGTCAAACTTTTTGGCCCGTGAGAGCTGAACGTCTTCCTGCATGCTCTTTCCTCTCTGAGACTTCTTCACAGGCAGCAGCAGCAACACTAAGATACTGCAGATGTGCAGGCAGTAATACCAGGAGCTGAAAGGAGAGGGAAGACAGTTTACCAGCCACGCCTTTGCCAACAGCAGGGCCCGATGGTGGGGCTATCCACTACATTATCCCCTGCCCCGCCCCCAGCTCGGGAGTACAGGCCTAGACACAGTCCAGTGTTTTGTAAGGGTCATGAGGCTACAGAGGACGCAGACAGAAAGGCATTTATTAACGGAGACATCAGTCTGAAGGCAGCCACAAAATGACATGTGGGGTCACCAGAGGACCCTGCATGGGCAAGAGCAGGGTCAGTCGCTGCTCGGCCCACTGTCCCTCGGTTACAAAGACTGAAACAACTGAGCAGTAGGTGACAGACAACTATGTGACAGTGGCGTCCACAAATTCAGATCGTACCTAAGAAACCACTAGAAAATCGGTCCCTAACTCGACTCTGAGTCTGACGGGACCTTAAGTGCTTCCAAAGTTGAAAGTTCAAAGCGACTGAAGAAAAATAAAAATGGGACAGACAATCCAACCAAGAGCCTACCCACATTGTAAAATGAATCACCTGTGTTCAAATGAAACTTTAACCAATTATTTCTCTCCTGTGTGACTATCAAGCTTGATCCTAATGTCTGCGTCTAATCCTTTGACCATAAACTCTTGGGCTAAGTCACCGAATCCCGCAGACATGAAGACATGGTGAGAATCAAGCTTCTAATTTCAAAGATATTAACACGGGAGAAGCGGAGGATGGTGGAGCAGGGACAGATGAAAGATTAATGAAAAACATGAACTTTCAGACAGCGACTTCTGAAATGTAGAGGATCTCAGCCGCCAGCCAGGGGCAGAAGAGCGAGGAGGGGGTGAATACTTTCCTAACCCTGGAAAACCGGGTTAATTAGCAATCAGTAAAGCATGCCCCCCCCTTCCTTTTCTAGCCGTTTTCTGGGCACTTAGGCTACAGCTGAGTCTTCCTGAGATGGGGGTGGGTTCTTCTGCCAGTGCCACTGAGGGAGCCACACTTCCTTTCACCTTTAGGCTGAATGGGATGAGCTGCCCCATGAAGGGACTTGGGACTGCTGGGTTTAGGACTAAGAAGTAATTGATAAGGTACTTAATGGCAGAAATGAGGCTGTAATGTCTATTTCTGTACTGGCTGGTTTTGTGTCACCAGAGAGGAAGCAACCTCAGTTGAGGGAATGCCTTCATGGGATCCAGCTGTAAGGCATTTTCTCTCAATAGGGGAGGGCAGTGATCAGTAGGGTAGGGGGAGGGGAGGGGAGGAGACAGGAGGGGAAGGCACAGCCCACAGTTGGTGATGCCATCCTTAGTCTGCTGGCCCTGGGTGCTATAAGAAAGCAGGCTGAGAAAGTCAGGAGGAGCAAGTCAGTAAGCAGCTCCCCTCCATGGCCTCTGCATCAGTTCCTGCCTCCAGATTTCTTTCCTATTTGAGTTCCTGTCTGACTTCCTTTGATGATGAACAGTGAACCCTTTCCTCCCCAGCTTGCTCTTTGGTCACAGTGTTTTGTCACAGCCATAGAAACCCTGACTAAGACAATTTCTGTTATTCGATTCAATTAGTACAGAACTTTCTTTGGGCACACAGCCGAACGGTAACACTTACCTGTAAAACGTGAACGATGGTTTTATAGAGAGAAGCACAAACGGCACCACCGTGTAACTGATTGTTATTTGTGTTGCTGCCCACGTTACGATGTCATAAAACAACTTAAGTTGAGGGGGTTCGACGAAATAATGTCTAAAGTTATTTCTTACCTGGAAAGAAAGAAAGACACAAAAAACATTGGCTACGTCTTTAGATAAACATTACACAGAGGATTCACTGGTGACAGCCACTGTTCCAAGCCTGTAGAGTAACACTCTCAGACTGGTGCCTGAGTTTGAACTGCTACTACCGCCAGGGCAAGTCGCTCCCAACAGCAGTAGTGTGTGTGTGTGTGTGTGTGTGTGTGTGTGTGTGTGTGTGGTTAGTGGAGAGGAGTGAGCAAATGGTGGGCTGTGCAGAGGGCCTGGAGGAGTGCTCTGTGGCTATGAACTTATTTAAAGTGAAGCTTCCTAAGAGAGTTACCGAAGGACACAGACAGAGTTCTTTAAGTAGTGCTGGCTAAATCAGAGACCATGCGTGCCTCCGCTGGGTCTCCAGTTTCTCCTCTTATTAGGTGAATGAGGCAGCTGTACTCTTGTTGAGTCTCTGAGTGTGTGCAAGACCAGAAGGATCTGTATGCTCCATTCTCATCAGAAAGCAGGCCCAGAAACAGAGACCGCACACACGCTCGCTGATGAAACCTGAGAAGGTCTTCTCAAAAAGGTTTGTTGTTTGTTTGTTGGCTGCGGGGTTGGAGACTTGTGCATTCTAGGCAAGCACATCCAGCCACGTTCCCAGCTTCTTACTAAACAGTTCAAAACAGTCCAATGTTGTGCTTTTGAAATGTATAAACCTAATCAAACAAGATTTCCCACTTCTACCGTACGCCTCACTTTTTTTCTTCTGTATGTCTCAGGTGTCATAACATCTCCACAGGTGAAGCATGGCCTTGGACACAATCAAGCCAGATGGGATCCTCAGACTGAGGTCACGAACGGGTACACTTCTCAGTGTCTCAAACCCAATCCTGGTCTTATAACCTCTTGCCTTGCTCTCTCTATCCATTCTGCCTGTTCCCGAGTCCACCTCCTCCAGCATGACTGCACCATTCCACCCTGGCGTTCCAAACCTTAGCTGGCTGGGGATGTAGGCCAGTGCTACAGTGCTTTTCTGTATTGCGGGGCCCAAGGTACACTCTTCAGCACCCCAAGAAAACAAAACAGAAACCACACCTCTCCTAACTCCCTGATGCTAGGGGTGGAAGAGTTCCGAGCTTCTGGGCTGGTGAGGAGATACCACGGCCTGCCTCCTTTCCTCCTTGCGCCTATCTAGAACTATCTGCTATTCACACACCCAGGAACTCTCTGCTCTAATTTCCAAAGCACACCACGGCTTTTGAACTTTCCCAGTGCCGTGTCCCATGCCTAAGACACAATCTTTTTCCCCACTTCGCTCCAGTTAGTATTGACTACCAGAATGTTCACAGCCCTGTGCTACTCTTTCCTGCTACTCCCTCGGGTACAGCAAAATGAGCATCTGCTGACTTCTTAGAGGAAGCCATTTTACCCACAAGGCACTAGAACGAGCTTGCTAAAACATACTTTTTGACACATTACTTCCCTCTAGTTAACTTTCAAATACTTACACCGATTTGTCCTCCTTTCTTTCCCCATAGTGTGAAGCTGTCTCAATTGTTGCCCCCAAACTGTTCCAGGTTCTCCCTCAGCAAGTACTCTGCAGGATGGCGCCACATCCAGAGTCTCCCACTGGGAACCACCTACCCCATCTCTAGGAGTGGTCACACGCCACTCTGAACCGAGAGAAGACTCCAGGGTTACAACCCACAGGAAACAGGAAGGTTTGAGAAGAACAGACTTTCCACTGTTTAACAGCCTTGGCTGTTCTAGAACTCAGTCTGTAGACTGGGTTGGCCTCAGACTCACAGAGATCCACCTGCCTCTGCCTCCCAAGTGATGGGATTAAAGGCGTGTGTAGCCACCAACAGGCTCAGACCTAGCCATCCTAGCCATCTTTGTTTTCTCCCTCATTCAGAAAATGTCATAAGCCATATGACGTGCTTTAAGCGCTTCCCGCGTGCTAGGTGCACAGCTTCTCCTGGTACATAGCAAGCGTCGAGGCACGCAGTGAACACTTGTTTCCAAGGACAGTCACACATCTAACTCTTTTCCTGGGCAGATGATGCTGATCACAGCCAAAGAAACAAAGATCCGCTCATTGAATTATAAAACAAAATGTGATACTTACAGCCCGCGCTGCTAATGTCATTAACGTTCCCGTTAGGAACGTCAGATAGTATCCTGGGTAGACCCCGTGCCAAATGGCGGAGAGAAAGAACGTCTGGGTTGTTGGACTGAAGGTCGCTCGTTCATAACACACCCTAGACATCATGGAGAGGCAAGAGGAGTGAGCAGAGCTGAGTCCCCAGAGCCCACAGGGTCCTTCCCTGACCTGACACTGTTAGGGAAGCCGGGAAAGCAAATAGCATTTCTCTTGGGCAGCTAGCTTGGGCACTTAGGAGCATAAACTTTGTTCTTGCCTCCTTCTCACCGGTATATATATGGTATATATGTGTGTGTGTGTGTGTGTGTGTGTGTGTGTATACATATGTATACATACATACACACATACATATATACACATATATACAGTTATGAACCACCTTGTGGGTAGTGAGAGTTCAATTCGGGTCCTCTGCATGAGCAGCAAAAGTTCCTAACTGCTGAGCCACCTCTGCAGCCTCCAGTTATAATTTTAAGGATATTCGAGTTCTGACTATGGAGTGGGGACTGGGTCTTTTGGTCCTACACATGTGTGCCCCGGGCCCAACATATAAAGAGCTGCTGAGTCTGTTCCAGAAATCCAGGGCAAGTTATATACTTTTGTTTTGTTGGGTTTTCGAGACAGGTTTTCCTTGAACTAGCTCTATAGACCAGGCTGGCTTTGAACTCAAGAGATCCGCCTGCCTCTACCTCCCAAGTGTTGGGATTAAAGGCATGCACCACCGCCAACCGGCCTGTGTTTGTTTCTAATATCAAATCTCCAATACATAAGAGCAGTAGCTACAGAGAACACTGGCTACCCTAGACATCCGCAGAGCCTGGACCAGGATGAAGGGACGCCAACACAGGGATGTATGTGACTCAGTTCTATGCAGCTCTGATTTGATGAATAGTGCTTTGCTCTGTTGGATGCTAATGGCATACCTTGGGTAAAACCAAGACCACAATGGCATTCAACACACAGACAATGAAGAATGCCAAGTCAGCAAGCTCAACCCCAAGTCCCTGATGCCAGAGCATGCCCAAGGGTGACTCTTTAAGGAACATACCTTTTGAGCCAAAGAGCTGTCTGGATATTCCAGTTGTCGAGGAACATCTTAAAACTTGTTGACATCTGAAAAACAAAGGGACCTTTGGCCATCAAAATAATGAAGCTTGTAAGTCTACATAATAATGCTTTATTTAGTGTTCTACAAAATTAAAGCTAAAAATCATTTGGTAATGAAGGCACAGCACTGGTTCCTTCCTCAACACTGTTCTAATACAGTAACATCCTCCACGAAAGTTTCTGAACATTGGAGGGCTACAGCTCCACAGAGCTATGTCACTTACCCTCTGTGCTCCCCTCCCTCCAGAACTGTTAATGAAATCATAACGGAGGGGGGTTGCTCCTAAGCTCCCATTGCATTAACATCTGGGGGCGTTTAGCAGTGGTCACTATATCCTCCCTTGAGGAAACAAGGCTTCTCTGTCTTCATTTCACTTATTCCCAAGAAGATGATGGCTCATGTTCCCAGGAGGATGACACCTGATTCTCAAGGTATGGAAAAACCTTACCGGTTTTACATATAAGCATGAAAACACGGAAAACTAATGGTCTCTACGGGGGGTGGGAAGTCCCTCAGCATGACGCTAAAGAATCAATAAATACCAACACCTCCATCTTACTTCAGCAACCACCTGTTTCCTCTCCCCTTCCGTTTTTATTTATTTATTTTATGTGCATTTTGCCTGCGCGTCTGTGTATCGTGTGCATGTAGTGCTTCTGGATGGCAGAAGGCAGCACTGGATCCCCTGGGATTGGAGTCAGAACTGGCTGTGAGCTGTCCTGTGCTGGGAGCGTCTGAGGTTGTGTTTGGCGAGGCTTCTTCGTCTCTAGCATCTCCGGTACCTTTGCATGCTGCCGGTGAAAGCTTGCCTTTTCTCACCCTACTCTTCCTCCAAGGGCTCACCTGATCATCTCCCACCCCCCCTTGCCCTACGACAGACTACAGATTCACAAACACCTTATGCTTAACTTTCCAAGTGAGAACTTACTTTTGAGTACTTTCTACAACTTCCTGAGGACCCGTAAGTCACCAGTCTCATTCACTGCACCCTCCCGGGTGTCCCCCATTAGTAAATATGGGGTGAAAATCTGGGTAATATTTCATGATCCTCCTCCTTTGACATCCTTTCCATCTCCTCTATGAGCTCTGAAGGGGTGGTGGGAGGATCCAGTTTAAAGGGGAGCACTCGACGGGCACTTGCCCACAGCACCTTGCCCAGCTGTGAATCTCTGTATAGAAATAAGTAATAATCTAGTCTCGAGCATGTGAAGGCTTGCTCCCAGCTGACAGCGCTGTAGGGGAGGTTCAGGAGGTGTTTGCTGTTAGAGGAAGCGTGTCACGGGAGGTGGCCTGATGCAGTCTAAAAGCTCAGGCCACTTCTAGTTCACTCTCTGCGCTGTGCCTGCAGTTCTACTCCACCATGATTGACTCTAACCTTCTGGAAGCCCAAATAAACTCTTTATTCTATCCAAAAAAAAAAAAAGTCTGGGTGTTTCTGTGGTCAATACCCATGAGCGCCACTCTCGGGACGGTACACCATAACCGAGGAAAGCAAACTGGGCGTTTAAACAGTCACATAACTAGTGTCTTAATCGTTTACTAACCTCTATTTGCTGAATTCTCAAATTGGAAATTAAGTCCCAACGAGCCACTCCGTTCCTGTCGTACCCTCTGAACCCAAAGCCTGCAGCGTTGTTAATGGCGTCGGCTGTCACAAAGTAAAGAATTAAAATGTTACTGCGTTGTATAGAGAATATATATGGATACACACACACATATGTTTTGTTTTTAAAGATTTATTTTATTTTCATGTGTCTGGGTGTTTTGCCTCCATGCATGTTGTATGTACCATGTACATGCCTGGTGCCCTTGGAGGCCAGAGAGGGTGTGAGATCTGCTGGAACTGGAGTTACAGATGTTTGTGAGCCACCACATTGGGGCTGGAAAGTGAACCCACCTCCTCTGCAAGAGCAACAAATGCTCTCATCTGCTGAGCCATCGCTCCACCCCCATCTACTGTTTTCCCAGGAGGCATGGACAATGTTTTACTCTCAAACAGTAGAAATAGGTTTTTGATTTAGTAGTATTGGAGAGACTGAACCCTGGGTCTTGAACCTTCTAGGCAAGCCCTTTCCTGGTGAGATACAACCACAGTCCACAGCTTATTCTAGTTTTAAAATGCCTATGTGTGTGTGTGTGTGTTTCTCTCTTTGTGCATGCTACATGTACGCGGGTGTCCATGGAGGCCAGGGGAGGACATTGGATCCCCTGGAGCCAGAGTTAATGGTGGTTATAAGCAACCAAACTCAGGTACCCTGAAGACGGGGACTATGCCATGAATATTCAATCAAGCTCGCAGAATCTAGCACACAACAGGCTAACGCTAATAATAGAGAAGTATCTGCTATGACCTCAGCTGCCCATTGACTTTTATCTTATAGCAAAATGGGCCTTGCTCATGAACTACGGGGGTGGAGTGGGGGGGTGGTTGTTTCTTATGCAAAATGACTGACTGTTCTACTTGGTCCTTAACTATACATCCTCAAGAGGGCACTCTTGAGCTGGAAGCCGTGGGATGCTTGTGAGTTCAACTACTAGAGCAAGGCTGAAGCAGGGGGACTGCTTGTACTCAGTAGTTTGAGGCCAGCAGGGACAATAAGGCATAGTCACAGAAAAAAAAAAAAAAAAAAAAAACAAACCAAACCAACCAAACAAAGACCCAGGACACTGCCTGAGAGCTACAAGATACACTTCAGCATGGAAGCGAGTCTACACGCTACTTACCTAAGGTCCATGCAAAGTAGTACTTAGGTCTGGCAGCCAAAAGAGAGACATACAGATAGGTGGCTCTGGCTGGCCACGACGCGGTGGCCTGGAAGCGCTCGTCGATGTTGTACTCCACGGGCAGCATGCTGGAGACGGTCAAGTGAAATAGTAATGAGAGTCCACAGACTAGGAGCTTCTCGGTCACTGCTGCCTGGAAGGGGTAGGCAAGAGTCACAACCTGCATAGGACTCTGTTTGCACGTTTTACGCACTGGCCACCAGACAGAAACCCTAGCGCTCATTATCAAAAATCAGGAGCCGCCTTGCCCTGGACATTTCAGATCCTCACAGGAATATTTCCAGCCTCATTAACCTCAATCACCAAGACAGGGTCTCTCAAACAAACCCAGCACTCCCTGACACAACTAACCTTGCTAGTCAGCTTGCTCTGGGGATGCCCTGTGTCTGCCTTCCAGGGATGGAATTACAGCCAGGCAGTGACACCCTACCATTACATGGGTTCTAGGAATCCAGACTATGGTCCCCACACTTGTGAAAGTGCTTTGAGCACTAAGCCACCTCCCCAGACCCATGAGCAAGACTTTGGCAAGATTTTGACTAGCATCGTTAGGAAGAGAACACGGCCAGGAAAGGAACCGCCAGCGTTTCCAGGGGTGGAGCAGGAGGACAGAAGTTCATGAGGGGTCGCCACGTAACACCCACCGTTGGACAGCATCACTTTCACTATGGAATTTGTTTTCTTTCTTTTAAAAAAAAAAAGCTTAAATTTATTTGTTTTATGTGTATAAATATTTACCTGCACACTTGCATGTGCACTGTGTGTGTGCCTGGTGCTCACCGAGATCAGAAGAGAGTATCAGGTACTCTGAAACTGGAGTTATTATGCATTGTTGTGAGCCACCATGTTGGTGCTGGGCACCGAGTTCTGCAAGAGCACCAAGTGCTCTAAACGACCGAGCCATCTCTTCAGCCCCTTACGGAGCTACTTACATTTGTCCTTCAACCATGACTTTGCCTCTCCTAGACATCACAACCAGGTAGAGGATAAAAACTGTTTATCCTGAAAGACAGTTATAAAGAAATATCTGTGCTCTGTGGTTACTAGTTCTGCTGTCCCAGAGGACCAGAGTCCGGTTCCCAGAACCCACCTCAGACAGCTCACAACTGCCTGTGACTTCAGCTCCAGGGGATCCTATACCTTCTTCTGACCCCCGTGGGTTCCCACCTATACACAGTACACACTCAGATACATAAATTTTTTTAAAAAAGAAAGAGATGCAATCTAGTGGCAGAATTATTATCTGCCTTAATATATTAACAATACAGGCCCTGACAAAGCTCTGCATTCAATGCCTAAGAACATACCACATGCATATGCACACACACATGCATGCACTCACGTGCACACACACGCACACGTGCGTGAAGTCACATGTACTCTTACACGCACACATGTATGTATAGGCACTCTCACACACACAAACACACACAGGAAGAAAGGGAAAAAAAGAAATTAATCAACGGAGAAATGACAATGAATGAAAACTTTAGACTTTCAGAGAGACAAGCACAAGCTACAGAGCGCAGAGCTCCAGATGACTCTCGCGCCCTTACGTTTGGAGACGGGTCTGCTCTTTCATGTTGCTGCTCTTCTTTCCCGTTCTCACTGGACTGTGACATGTGGGATGGCCTGCCTTCAATGAAAGTAATGTAGTCTTTGTAAGAGCAGAGAGGGCCTGCCAGGATACCCATGAAGTTGCAGGTATAACTTACATACTCCAGGGGACTCGGCATGCGCCTGCAATGAGAAGACAACACTTGTGAGGTGTGGCACGGGTGTGACACCAGAACGGCGGTCATGTGCTCACTACTATAACTTACTATACGTAAGTTATACCATTTCCAAATGAGAAGACACCTTAGTTCTCATGAAGCATCTGGGAGGCGGACAGGGTAGTTCTCAACAGTACTTTTGGATAGGTGTACCACTTTGTTTTAAAGTTTCAACTTGACACAGTCTACACTCACCTGGGAAGAGACTCTCCACAAAGAGTTTGTAGATCCCGCTGGCCTATGAGAGGGGTCACATTGATTGCTAGTTTATGCAGGAAGACCCAGACCATCATGGGGACCCTAGGAAGGGAGTCCTGGATGACGCAGCCCAGCAGGAAGCTGGCTGAGAGCGAGCACCACTGCATCTATTTCCCTCCGCCCTTTACTGTGGGATGATAGGACTAGCAGCTTTAAGCCCCTGCCACTGTGACTTCTCCGCTATAGTGGCCTGGGCCCTGGTTGATTTTCCTTTTGTTGACATCAGGCAAGCTAGAGTTATCTGAGAAGAGGGAACCACAGGTGAGGACACCCTTCCATGAAACTGACCTGTTGACAATCCAGGAGGATATTTTCTTAACTAACGATTGATCTGAGAGGACGTAGTCCACTATGAGCAGGACTACCCCTGGTGTGTGAGCAGGCTGAACAAAACACGAAGAGCAGGTCAGTAAGCAGCACTCCTCATGACCTGTGCATCAGCTCCTGTCACCAGGTTCCTGCCCTTCCTTGCGTTCCTATCTTGGCATCCTTCAGCGATGGAGCATGACCTGACAGTTGTAAGCTAAAACGAACCCTTCCCTCCCTGATTGCTTTGGGCATGGTATTTTATCACAGTAATAGAAATTGCAACTAAAATGAACTACAATCTGGAATTATGGGCCAAATAACGCCCCTCCCATCCCTAAGTTGCTCTCTGTTAAAATTCATCTTATAGAAATGAAACAGAACAGTAGGGGCTTTCATACAGATCTTCAGACACAATTACAGAGGGTTTTCACTTAGGTTTCTCACAACGAAAGAGCCTAAGATGACCACGATGGGGCAGAAGGAATCATCGCTCATTTCTTACTTGCCTGTTCATTCAACAAATGCTGTGTACCCATTATGTGGACAACAGAATCCCGGGTCTCTAGACAGAGGAATCAGCAAAAGGAATCCCGCATGCATGAAGCTTACACTCCAGTTGAAAAACACAGACTAAAATAGACTTCATATAAACATAAGATATATGCGCATAGATATTATATATATGCAGAAATATAATTTTATAATAATATATGTAATCTTCAGAGAAGCTAAGTGTCACAAAAAGAAAGGGGGTCTCTTTACATTAAGAAGTCAGAGAGGCCTCTTTGGTGAAGCTCGGCTAGGCAGAAGCTAAACAGAAGTGAGAGCTGTACGAACTCAGGCAAGGAGGGACCCGGGAGCAGGAGTGATATGGGCACAGTGATTGCTCGGCTGAGAACACGTCAGGGCACAGTGATTGCTCGGCTGAGAACACGTCACGTGGACACAGACAGAAGGAAAGACTGCTAAGTGAGATTAGACGCGGGGCCTGCCTTGCAAGCCATAGGAGAATCTGTGGGCTCGTTCTGAATGCGATGGAGAACTACAGTTAGGTTTTAAAGGTCGCATTTCAAACGCACCACTCTGGCCCAGTGTGTGGACACAGTGGAGCCACGAAGACCAGGCAGATGACAATGCTCCTGTGGGGTCAGCTGATGGACCCGAGGGAAACAGGAGACAAGGGTGCGTCAAAACAGTTCTAGTCCTTTGCCTCAAAGCCTGTCCAAAGGGCTCAGGGGTGCTGATTAGCGGGCACTGGAGCTCAGCTGCTGGAGATGGAAGAGCACCACACCTGGGCACAGCAACAACCCAAGTGACAGGTTGGAGGACCTCTTTCCGCTCTGTACACCATGAGTGGTCTCCTTGGGAAAACAGCCTGTGGACAAAGAGGGCAAGCAAGAGGGTATTCCCGGTATACCAGGAATTGCCGTTGTTTAGAAGGGATCTAAAGATCAGCGCAGGACTCCCTGTTCTAATTGGAAAGTCCATCTGTTTTTTCTAACCTTTTTCTTCCTTCCCTCTTTCTCTCTTTGGGGTGGTAATGGTGTATGTGGATTTTTTTTCAATGTGGCCTTAGGAAATATTTGTTTGTTTATCATGGGTGTGTGTGTGTGTGTGCGCGCGCGCGCGCGCTCACGCACGTACGCATGTGCACACACGTGCCTGTGATGACCTAATGTAGACCACCAGCTTTTAGGAACCAGAGGAGGCCAGATGAGAGCGTCAGCTCCTCTGGAACTGGAGTGACAGGCAGCTGTGAGCCCAGGTCCTCTGCAGGAGCAGTAGGAGCTCGTCAGGGCCGAGCCATCTCCCCAGCCCACTTCTGTTGTCTGAGACAGTCTTGCTGCGCAGTTCAGTGTCTCACTCTGTGGTTCTGGTTGGCTTTTTCCTTCAGGCTCCTAGAGGCTGGGATCACGGGTGTAAACTGCTGGCCTGGAACTAACTTATTTTTTCCGTCTCTGTTTCATTTCTGTTTGCTTGGTTTTTTTTTTTTATGGAAGAAGGGTCACAAGTCGCACAGATTGACGCAAACTCCACTGCACAGCAGAGGATGACACTTTGACCATGCGGTCCCTCTGCCTGCAGGTCCTAAGAGCTGGGTTCACACGGTGGCACCCGCGAGACAAGATTCTTCTCAGTCATGAAACTCACTGAGAGAGTTTTGGCTAGATTGTCAAACCAACAGTGTGAGGTGCCAGAATAGGTACAGTGGTACTACCTAAGTCCCCTGTTTTACTTGCCACGTGAAAGATTTGCTGATTCTTCTCTACCCACTGACATCAAATCAAATGTGTGCCACCTTAGGTAGGTTGGGCAGGCTTAGCCTCTCCCAGCTGAAGGTCAATATTTCTTTACTGCACCTGGAAGATGTTTGCCCTTTACCTACTAGCTGTCAGTCCTTATGGGCTATGACGACCAGAAACGTCTCCAGGCGTGCTCAAATGTCTCCTGGGGCGAGAATTGCTGGCTATTTAGGAAACAGAGCTCTCAGCCTTAGGACCTTATACTTGGGTTGGTAGAGGACTGAAGAAAAAAAAAAACACAGTATACGCAGTGTGAAGAAAGCAGGGCAGGGCAGAGGGCTAGAATTTTAGGTGGGTATTTAAAGTTGAAGAGGGAGCGGCTGGCTGTGGCAGCACACACCTATCCGACTCGTCCTGGGAGGGGTGCTGGAGTTGGCAAATCTGAACTCAACCTGACTCACAAAAAGAAACCCCAGAACAAGATGAGGAGTAGGTAAACTGAGGCAACGATGTGGCATGCCAAGCTCTTTCAGAGAAGGATGCTGTGGTCGAAGTTATACAGGAGAGCATTATTTTGTTGTTTGTTTGGTTTTAACCAGGGGAGAGGTTAAAAAAAAAATACTAAAAACAATCCCAAGCCCACTCCAAGGTTCTCTGGAGACGGAGATGGCTCAGCGGGTAAACGTGAAGCTGTGTACAACAGAAGTCTACGTTCAAGTCTCCAGCACCCACATGAGAAGGTGGGCAGGGCCGCAGACAGTCAGAAACGACCTTGGGTCTCAGCATTTCCACAGCAGGTTTCTGGCCATGATGGAAGAAAGCCCAGGCTCCCCAGCTCCTCAGGAGCCAACAGCTCTGCCTGGAGCTGCACACAGTGATGGGGGCTAGAACGCCGGCCAGCCGGTAAATGACTGCTCTGGTCAGCATTGGAACTGGAGCTCTTGATTCGACTTCCAAGGTGAAATGGGTTATCAGCTCCACTTTATCCCTTCTCCCAAAAGATTTTATGGTTATCTCTTCAGAGGGGGCAATGACACAGTAACAATAAAGGCCCATAAAGGGAAAACCGGTTCCTCCTGGTCAAAAGGATGAAATCTCTGGCCTGGGCAGAGACCTGACATTCCAAGTTACCAAACCCAACAGAGAGTTAACCAGTTGGGCTAGTCAATCACCTGAACAAGGCACCATGCTAGGAAGGAAGGCTCACCGTAGGCCACACTAAAGAGCCAGGCAGACGAGAAGCCCTTTAGTTAGATACCATACTTTCCACTCCCAGAATTCCTGTCCCCAGCCACCGGGAGATTCTGTTGGAGCTATCCAGCTTTCTGATAAAAGTTCAACTTTTTCCTTTTCCCTTCTCTTTCAGAGGCCGGCCGGAACTAAGTAGCCTCTTCTGGTTCAGACTCTTTCTGGAATTCCCCTCACCACCATGGCCGCTTAATTCAAATGGCATTGCTCTCCCCTCTGCCAAACACACACACAAACACACACACACACACACACACACACACACACACACACACACACACACCACAGAGAGAGAGAGAGAGAGAGAGAGAGAGAGAGAGAGAGAGAGAGAGCGCACTGCCAGGACTGACAGCTGTCTGCCCTGAAGTTTTCTCTTTTAAATGCTAATAAAATCATCCTCTTTGAATAAACTTGGGCTTTGCTTGCCTTTCAAAGTTTTCGTACCCTTTGATTCTTTAGTGAGTGAGAAGATGAGCCCATTCCTGTACCCCTAGACAGTATTATTGGGGGATGGGCAGGGAAGGATGGAAGAGGATCCTGGCAGCTTATTGGCCAGCCAGAATAGCCAACACAGTGAGCTTCAGGTACAATGAGAGACCCTGGTTCAAAAACAAGGTAGAGCTGGGAGGTGGTGGAGCGCGCCTTTACTCCCAGCACTCAGGAGGCAGAGACAGGCAGATCTCTAAGTTTGAGGCCAGCCTGGTTTACAGAGCAAGATCCAGGAAGCCACGGCTACACAAAGAAACCCTGTCTTAAAAAAGATATAAAAACAAAACAAAAAACACAGTGGAAAGTGGTGCGGGACAATTCTGTACTGAATTTAAATTCAGCGTTTTAAATAAACGCTGATTGGCCAGTAGCCAGGCAGGAAGTATAGGTAGGTCAACCAGACAGGAAGTAGAGGCAGGGCAATGAGAACAGGAGTATTCTGGGAAGAAGGAAGCTTTTTCCCTAGTTCTGTCCAGACACTGAAGAAGGAAGATGTGACCTGTCCCACTGAAAAAGGTACTGAGTCATGTATGTGGCTAACATAGATAAGAATAATGGGTTAATATAAGTTATAAGAGTTAATGGGAAACCTGAGCTAATGGGCCAATCAGTCTTATAACTTATGTAGACCTTCTGTGTGATTCTTTGGTACCTAACGACTGTGGGACCAGGGCAGGACAGAAACCCCAACTAGCAGGCCCTCATGTTACAGGAAAGCAACAGAGGAAGACACTGAGGTTCTGCTTTGGCTTGTGTACTTGCTTACACACACACACACACACACACACACACACACGGCAGGGGATCACTGGACCCACCTAGAAAGCCTGCTACAGAGAGCAGGAGAAAATCAAGTGCATTCCTGACCTATGGAGGAACAGGCTGGCACAGTCGGGTGGCAAGAAGCAGCCAGACTAGAGATGACTGAAAGTTTTCTGACTTGTAGTAAGAAAATGAAATCTGCTTACATTCCCCATCAGCACTCCCAAGAGCAAGTGATACTACTAGCCAGCAAGGGGCAGTGGCAGAGAAACACATGGTAGTGGTGGTGGCGGGGAGACAGAAATCAGGAGCTGTATTTTGAACAGACTGACTGCTATCCAAGTGAGGACACTGAAAAGATTGGGGGCAGGAGGCTGGAGATGAAGCGGGGGCTGAGTAGGAAGGTGTAGCTGGTGGTGTGAAGCACCTGGGGAAAGCTGAGAAGTTCAGGTCTGAGTTCTGGGGTACAGCAACAGTGAGCCAGACAGGAAAGGGGCATAGAGTTGAGCAAGAGAGCAGAGAGAAAGAAAAACAAGAGGATGTGATGTTCAGGAATCCAGTGAGGAGCTGTCAGCTGGACCAGTGATGCTACCCCACTGTGATTGATCGCCATGCCAACAAGGCTAAAGACGAAGGGCAACCGAGAAAGGGAACATACATCTGACCACAGGCAGCAGGGGAGGAAGGGGGAAGTAGAGCCCGGCAATGGAGCTACTGTGGAGAAGAGGAATGACAGACGGACGGACGGACGAACGGACACGAGGGTGGTGAAGAGAAGGGACTGCATGACAATACAATCCTCTTCCTGAAAGGTTGATGATGACCCAGAGGAAGAAAAAAAAATGAACCTGATTAAGGTCAGAAGTGAGAAGCCAGCAGCCCTACACTGAACTACGGGCAGTTAGGGAGTCTGGTGGATGTTATGACATAGAGTGCGGGACCCAGGGCACAGCTGCCCTATGTAGTGATTCCCAGTAGGTGGCCTCAGGAAGTTTTTGTTGTCCTCTTACTTGTCCCGCTATAATGAGCCTGCCCTGGTGACATCCTGGTCTATAGTTCACCTGGGCTGTTCTGAAGGTTAGGATGCAGGCAGGCCAGTCAGGTTACACAAAGTAACCCATGGGCTGTGTGGATGTAAAAGGGGAAGATGCCTTAATAAGGAACTTTCCATTACTGAAGAAAAAGGAAAAGAAATGTAGCTTTTCATCATGAGTATGGGGGAGAGAGTTTTAGAATTCTGGAGAAAGAAGAATCTAAAATCTTTTCAGAGAGAGAGAGCTAAGGATATGTATTTGCTTTGCTGTCAATATGAAGAACTACAATTTTTTTAAAAAAGGATTTAATGTATGACTACTTTACACACATGTACCATGTGTGTGCCAGGCACCCGAATGTGTCAGAAGAGGTGTCAATCCCCTAGAACTGGAGCCACAGTTAGTGTCAAGACACCATCTGGGTTCCAGAACCAACCTGGTCCTCTGCAAGAGCAGCAACTGCTGAGCCAATGCTCCAGCCCAAGGACTATGATGTTAAAAATAAGAATAAAAACACCAAAATTAATCCAGCCAACAAGAGGGAGCGTCTTTCTACTTGGCCTCCTCTACTGTTCAGGGGTGGAGAACTGAAGTTAATTGGGATTGCCCATTTGCCCAGAGGTTGCCTGAGAGGGCAGGAGAATCAGAGCTGATGACTGTATATGACAGTGTCTGGGGTAGTCCAAGGCCAAGGAAAAGCCAAGAACCAACCCGATGACTTCTCAGGTAAGTGTATTCAATGGCTGTGTATGAAGACTGGCCATAGAGAAGACGAGGAGCCCAGAGAAGATGTGTCGATGATTACTAGGGGTGGGGACACAAACGTGGGCAGTGGTGCCTATCTGTTCACCACCATGGGCACCATCCCCTTCTTCAAGAGCAGAGGTTCTCAACCTTCCTAACGCTTTGGCCCTTGAATACAGTTTCTCGTGTTGTGCTGACCCCCAACCGTAGAATTATTTTTGTTGCTACTTCATAACTGTAATTTTGCTATTGCTATGAGTTGTAATGGAAATATCTGATACGCAGGATGCATTTTCACTATTACAAATTGATCCAAAGGGGTCACCACCCACAGGTTGAGGAGCACTGTTCTAGCAGCCATGCATTTGTTAATTCTGTATTTAGAAACAGCCTACTGCAAAGGAATTAGTTTCTTTAAAAGTAAAAGAAGCATATTACATCTTTAATTATGTTAGATTAAAAAAGACATGGCCAGAAAAATCAAGCCACTCTTGAAACCACTCTTCGGAAGCAGAGCAAAGGAAGACGATGACTGAAGAATTCCTCAAATAGTCATCAATAACATCTGTGCTGCACCTCTGTGCACAACCGCTGCTATCAGGTCACTGCCCCATGAGTGGCGCTAATATTAGCAGCAATCCCCACAACTGCGGACAAACCATCTGTCTTTGAGAGTCCCACAGACACGACACTGGTGGCCTCACATGGCTCACAGGAGGCACACATGGCACAGAGGCACAGGCATGGACTTAGGGGGAGCCCTGGAGGCCCCACACGGTTCCCAAGAGGCACACATGGTACAGAGGCACAGGGATGAACTTAAGGGGAGCCCCAGGGAAACTGCCAGCCCAGCCCAGCCCAACACAACTTGGCAGCCTGCAGCAGTGCAGAGGAAAGACGCCGGGCCATAGCACAAGCCACAGAAGATCTAAAGACACATACCTCACGGCTAAGTCCCTCTGCGATGGGGTCAGTTCTTCATCCTTCCGAAACATCCCTGAGGGTCAAAAAGAAACACCTATGTGAGCTATGTTTTCTCTTTAGAGTGGTACTTGTCTCATCTGAAATCCATGCTGTACTCCATGTGTGGACCCAATGATCGTCTCTTTCTTTCTCATACTGACACAGATTAGATAACTGTGGAGTCATCTCATGATCCGTTCCACCTTGCCCTGTACACACTTAACACATACAGGGAAATGAGAGTGACCAGTCACTTCCTTTGAAGGAAATTATCCAATTAGACAAAATCTCCCAAACGAATACATTTTCACGTATAGATCTGCTATCCTTACTAGAAATGTTTTCAAAAAGAGCCATTAAAACTCCTTAAGGATCTCAATGACTAACCCTCGGTGCCAACGGCCAGTAGCTCAACACAGAGCAATGACGGTGCTCTGGTTCTCTCACAACATCAGCAAATAAAAGCGGAAACAGGTGCATCGTCTTTACACATCTAGTTTGTCTTTCATCTCAATCAAGAGGCTACCGCTACAGCTAACCAAAAGCTTACGGATACACATGCCTTAAAAATATAAATAGATGGATAAATACTAGATACTATTTAAAGACAAATAAATAAATAGATAAATAAAAGAAAAGGAAAAAAGAAAGAAAAGAAAGAAAAACTAGACACAATTTAAAGACTAAAGGGAGACTGAATTAAGAAAGCATTTGTAGGAGACAAAACAAAACAATAACAGCGTCCAAAGACGTAAAACTCAAGCCATTAAAAGACACTGAGATAAATATACAGGGACAAAAACTAGGGAAAACAATCTAGCAAAAGAAACAAAGACAACCGATTAACATACAAACTGTCAACTTCATGATTAATTACAAAAGCACAATTAGTTAAATGTCTGGGAGGCCAAAGCAGAATAGCAAGTTCAAGGTCAGTCTGGACGGCATCATCAAAGAACAAGGGGACCTAGACTGTTAGAAGAACAAGCCACTCCGTTTTACACAGAACGTCTCAAGTCTCAATTATGTAACACACACGTTTGAATAGATGATATGTGCACGTAAGACAGATGAGAGAGTTACAACCACTTTAAGACACTCTGAGAGCCTGTTAGCACTGAAAAAGAACAGAAGAGATAGTCTCCCTGCTGAGAGGCCCTCAGTCTAGTAGGGAGAAGGATCACGGAGGACCACTTATGTTTCTGTAAACTGACAGAGCAAAGACTCGGGGAACGTTTCTCTCCTCTCATCCTAGACACCCCTAGTCTAAGGAAATAATCAAAAATGTCACCTGAAATTGTGGCCAGGACCATCAAAACCCCATGCATAATGGCAAAAAAACAAAACAAAAACCCCACTTATACATCCAATAATGAGGGAAGGAAGTGTCATTGCACACCTATTTTTGACAACAATGAGGAAGAAAAATCGGGCTGGAGGGGTGACAAGGCTGCCCTGGCAGAGGACCCCTCATGGAGGCTTTAACACCAGTCCCAGGGGTCCTGGCGCCCTCTTCTGGTCGCCACAGCCACGGTACACACGTGAACAGACAGAAGCAGGCCAAACACTCATACACTAAAGAAATGAATGAATGAATCAATGAATAAATAAATAATCTATTTTTAAAGAGAAGAAAACTAAACCCAGGCCTATGAGGAAGCCAGTGGACAAGACAACTATGATGGGCTCTGACCCTCAGAACCACGCGGCCAGAGGTGGGATTCTTTAGTCTCCTCCGAGTCATTTGTACTTCCAAGTTCCCTTCAAGGGGCATGTGCCCACTCTCTGGAACCGTACAGAGAAAACAAAATAAAACCACAAATCCCACTTAAAAGGAGAACACGAGGGGAACCCCGGAGGACCTCCTACCACTCTCAAGGCTCTCTTCCCCACAGGAGACAGACGACCCTTGGGGCTACCTAAGGAAATAAGGCCAGCAGTGTTCTCTTGAGAACCCCCCCCCTCTCCCTCCTTCCCTCCCTCCCACCAGGAAAAGAGCGGGTAAGCAGTCATCTGTGATGCCAAGCTTTGCTACATACAAACTTTTTGTTGTATTTTTTTGTTGTTATGTTTTTTAATTTCTTTAGAGATAAGGTTTCTCTGTGTAGTCCTGGTTGTCCTGGAATTTGCTCTGTTGGGATTAAAGGTGTGCACCACTACTACCCGGCTTTTTTGCTGTGCTTCATTCAGTATTTCTCTGTGTGTAAAAATGCTCAATCATGCATGACAGGTCAGAATTCAATGTCCAGTGTCTTCTCCCATTGTTCTCCATAATATATATATATTTTTTGAGACCGGTCTCTAAGTGAACCGACATATCATTTTGGCTAGACTGGCCATCCAGCAAGGCCCAAGGATCTTCCTGTCTCCAGTACCACCATCACTGGAGTTACAGGTGTATGCTGCCATGCCAAGTTTTTGGTGGACTCCAGGGATTTAAACTCAGGTCCTCATGCTTTGACCCAGCGAGCCGTCGTCTCCCTGGCTCCTTTGTAAGCCTTCTGCAGCATTTCTAAGTGTTTAGTGTAGTGTGGGGCTTCTCTGCCAGAGTACCCTGCCATGCTGACCCAGGAGGCTATTATCATTTTAAAATGCAAACCAACCAAGGAAAATAAACATGTAACTTAAAGTAAACCATATTTATAGAATAATTCTGTCTATGTATACAAGCCCAGCCTTTCTCCACAGAGAAAGGCTCAAACTTTGGGTACTCAGAAATTGGAGATCTTCTAAAACATTAAATTAAGATATTATGTTTAAAGCTAAGAAAATTAATATATTGGGCAGTGATGGCGCACGCCTTTAATCTTAGCATTTGGGAGGCACAGGCATGTGGATCTCTGATTCTGAGGCCAGCCTGGTCTACAGAGCGAGTTTCAGGACAGCCAGGGCTATTCCACAAAGAAACCGTGTCTTAAAAAACCATAAATAAAAAAAATATGACTATAGTTCAGCCTAAAATAGAAATCAGACTCTTATATTCCCTTATCAAGTACAAGCACCAAGCTAGGCTGTATCAACAAAACCAACAAAACAAACGACAACAACAAAAAACCCACCCTCCTCCTGCCTGCCAGGGCACATATCCGTTGTCAGGACCAACACAGTGCCAGGCTGTACCATCCTCACGAGTCTCTCGGACATGACTTAAAACTAGAACAGCAGGGGAGGAAACTGCATTCTGTAAGGGGAGCAAGATGTCTAAACACCACACCTAGAAGTCATCCGAGATAGAACATCCGCTTCCTGAAGCCACTGGACTGGCAGCTAAAAACCCAGCCACGGGAGAGGTCCAGACCCACTGCCCGGAGTTCACACAGACGGCAGCTGTTGCCCTTCCTCAGCAGGTCCTGCCTGCTAGCATGACCCACTGCCGGTGCCTGGAGCTTGGCAGGCACACAGTACCTACACCAAGACAAATGTTCCTTATGCCGCGACTGTTTGTGCCAACACGGTTTACTCTCAACATCCACTTCCCCACCAGGAATTTGTAACTGCTAGGCACTGGTGTCAGCTTGCCTAGCTCCCGACAAGCACTCTGGGTCCTAGGTCTAAGGAATTTCCTGGCAGAAGATACATCACAGGTGTTCCCATCCTTGCAGCTGGAGATAGCCAGTGCTGTCTCTGACGCCACTGTGGGAAGCATGCTCCTGGCTTCTTCTAAACCTCACCCCAAGTACTTCTGTTATTCACTGTTTAGAATCTTCATGAGAACAAACTGTAGCCAGGGCAACACCGCATGCTGAGACCATGCGAGGCATGGGCTTAAAGTTCTCACTCCTGACAAGCAGGTCCTCTCCTGTAAGAGACACTAAGGAAACAGGAGGCTGGAAGAGTTGGTCGAGCCCTGAAGCATGAGATAGAGGGTAGCTGCTCTGCAGGAGGACGTCTGGTAGGATGGGATGCTCCAGTTCACAGGAAGAATCCCATGCGAAGCTGGCAAGGCTAATCAAAACCTGCTTGCTAAATCTATTCCAAAGACCAGATAACAAATAGGGCCCTGCTGTCTGTCCTTTTGGTTCCAAGTTTAACATACACTGCCAGCGGGGGCTTCTAGACATGTTCCTCCATCCTCACCCCAGGCGGGACCTGTCGGTCAGTGTGACAAGTGGGTCTCAGCACCTAAAGACAACTGGGTGCTCTGATCTACCACATCCACAGCATCCACTTTAGGACTACAGGACCAGGGTCTGAGAACTTCTGTCCATATCCCTGTTCAGAACGCAAGGACTATGAGACGTGTCCACGGACTGCCATGCACAAAAGGACGCTCCAATGTGGGCCTGGCTACAAACATAGAGATGAGAAACCCAAAGCGGGGGCAGAAGAGGTGGAGTGTGGGTCTCCTCAAACACCCATGCACATGCCACCGCCTCTAGAGGCACATGGCCAGGAGGAGGTGCTCTGCTTCAGAAGGGCAGAAAAGAGAGCTGTGAACACACGAGGATTAAACATGGACCACTGACTGTAAAGGAAATCTGTCCCTTCTGTTCATGTCCTCAGACAACGAAGCAGTGAGCAACTTTGGGGAGAGGAGGACAACTCCTTTCGGGCCCTTACCCCAGAACTATCAAGGCTGTGCCCTGCCCACAAGTGGGGACTGGGCTGCGGGAGGGGTGAGTACAGGATTAGGGGGACACACGTGCAGGGACAGACAGACAACTTTGCTCAGAGAGAGCTGTTGCTCCTTGTTCTGAGGAACCCAGTCAACACCCCAAGGAGTCTCGATTGCTGACATTTCCCACACCCACTTATTAAACATATAAAATGGGTACATATGTGGATTAAATGTCTGAAAACATGTGTGTATATGGGTGTAAACACAAAGTGATAGAATTGGAGAAACATACAAATTTCAATATAAATGTAAGACAAATAAAATTAGGAATCAAACTTGACTGAAACCAAAGGTCCGTTATATGGGTCATATGACTATTTTTGCTTTTTATCATAGAATTGAATTAAAAATCAAGAGAAAACATGGAACTGGGGGTGAAGCACAACTTAATAACCTTAAACAACACTGTCTCTCCCTTCCTTCCCCTTCAGAGTTAGGGTAATAGCTCACACCAAAGAGTATTCAAATAGGGTTCTTTGCAGTGATGAAGAATTAACTTCCAGACTCTTACCGTCATGAATCTCGAAAGCCAGACTAGTAATCTTCTGCGTAATGATCATCATCGGGCTGTGATGAGACAAAAGCAGATATTTTAAACGGAGGATGTCACAACAACATACACGACACAGGACACAGGCTCGACCCTGATTACATGACAATAAAACCTCAAGTTTCTATCGTATCAAAAACTCGTGGGGGGGGGTGGTTTAAGAGCTAACAACTCTGGGGTCTCCTGTTTTCAAAAAGTGCAAGAGAGAAGAAATCAAGGTTTTCTTTCTCTGTGGCTTTAAAAGCGAGTAAAAGGAGGGCCCTATGCCTGAAAACAATCTTCTGTGAGGCAGCCTCCAACTTATGCATCCTAAGATGAGAGTCTGTGGGTCAGAAGTGCAAGGACTCCAGATGTGGCCAGGTAGTGACTAAGTGCCTCCCCCAGCCTCCCCTGGGCCTGATGCCCAAGGCCGAACATCAAAGAGAACAGAAGATGCCTGAGAAAGGGGGAGATGAGCAAAAGCTAAAGGACTTTGGATGAGAAGGGTAAGGGGCGCGGAGCCAAACAGCAAGAGGGAGATGAGAAGAAAGAAAGGGGCAGGGTGCCATTTCCATGCTGAAAGCAGGGCACGTTGATGGCAGCCACCCAGAACCCAGAAGCCTACTGTCTGCTAAAGAAAAGAGAAATTGCCTTGTACATATTACAAGAAATAGCAGCGTTTCTCCTACGTCTTGTGAGAATTCTAACTGAAAGGTTAACTTGTAGAGGAAAACCAAATCAGCCAAATAAAAACTGTACTGCATCACACGCCACCCTGCGGTACACTCACTCCTACATTACAGCCCACCAGCTCACTGCATTAAACCCTATTTCCCCCTGCATTACAACCCAACCCTCACTGTTATATACCACCCTCACTGTGTTACACCCCACCCTACATCACACCCCACCCCTCACAGCATCAACTTTCAGATGGTCGTTTAACTTTCTAAAATGACAATAAACTCAGAAGTTATATTTGCCAACAGGCAGAGATTGTGCTCCGCATGCTGAGAGAGCTAGGACTCTCACCGCATTGTCTTCTCAAAGCCTCCCCAAGGACCCCACGGAATCACCCTCACGGGGTGGCCAGGGTCAGCTGGTCTTGAGGAGTAAAGGCTCAGGATCAGGCAGGGAGGTTCCACACTCTCCCAGCAGATGCGCTGCCTCCCAGTGCGAGCACACAGGGGCACGAGGCTTGGCTTTCCACAGCTCACTCTGGATGCAGAGCCACAGCTGTGCCCTGGAGAGTTCAGGCTCTGAGGGGCAGGGTCAGATGAGGGCTGCTCTCCGATTCCCTGTGCTTGAGAGGGAAAGGGGTCTCTTGACTCCCTTAAAAGCCAATTCTTAAGGTTACCTAGAAAAATCATGGCTCAGCCGGCCTAATCTCCCAGGTTGCTCTGCACACAGGGCATCCTTCATGTCCTTGAGGATTATACATGCCCTGAGATTTACATCTCCTAGGGGGTTGGGGGGCACTCATTGGTCTCAACCTGCCTGATTCTCCTCATAGGGAATTATAAAATGCCATTCAGTTCAAAACTCGAATCCCCATGCCATGTAACTAAAACAAATTGATAAAATAAGCTAAATTTCTGTAATACAAATACAGAGGCATATCAGCCACAGGTATTATATATAATACATCTGAGAGATGCAGTATATGTTTGCAACTATGATGTCCTTATAGTACCCACTGAGCATGTGCAGCCTTCATGGAACTTCTTTTCCATGCGGTGCAAGGATTCTGAATCTCACAGAACCACATCCTGGTCTGGGAGGCTGAACCAGGCTTAGGTGCATAGCCGACTCCAAGGGTTACATATCTTAGCAAAGAAGGGAAGAAGGTGAGGAGCAGATGCCAGATGCAAATGCTGCCCGCCCCTGCCCTACTCGAGCCTTTCTTCCCGGAGCCACTCTGCAGAGACAGTTTTACTGCCCTTCCCAAGCCTCAGCCACTTGGCTCCAAAGATCCACGGGGCAGCTCCTATTAAACATCTCCTCTCTGTTCATTCAAACACAGGCTGCCCATAGTACACGTCCTGCTGCTTTTCTCCCAAACCATAATAATACATGATAAATAACAAAACCATCCCTGAGTGTCCCTCCCAGATTGTATCTAAATTCTTTTATTCACAAGATAAAGACCCCCAAAGAGAGAACCCCGACTTCCCCCCAGTACCACTGGTGACCATCCACCCCATGTGTGGCCTTTGGTTTTGGGGAGTGGCAGTCCACTGCCTCTGGCTCACCCTGCTCCCAGGAGCACAGTGAACACAGGACTGCAGACAGAAGGTGTCAGTACAGACTGCAGAGGAGGGTGCTGAGGATGAAGATTCAAAAGAGGGCTTGCCAGAAATGCCAGAAGGGATGAACGGATCAGAGAGAGTTAGGAATCTGGAGAGGGGCAGAGGTGGGCAAACTCACCACGGAGATGAGTGCAGCTGGGAGACCAGAGGGATGATGGGAGTGGAAGCATGGAATGGAGCGAAGACAAAACCTACACCCTTTCCAGGCAGAGCCTGCCTTACAGAGAAAACACATTGGAGAAACCAGCACAACACTGTATCAGAGAGGAGATGCTGGTCTCCCTCCACAGCGCACATTTTACGAGCATCCCTTCAGAGCAGCAAGTTGTGACAGTTTTTAACTGTTGATTTTGTAGCAAAGGGCATTCCCCAATACCTAATCCCTCCTCCTGTCCCAGAGTCTAACTTAGCCTGCCAGGCGGTGGGTAAAGAACCTGTCTATCCTGGAACAGGCAGGGAAGCAGCCCTAGGGTGCCAAGGGAGGCGTCAGGGCCTGGATGGGACCTCCTCCATCTTCTAAGTGACAAATCTCTGTGTTGGCGTGAGAATGCCAGAAGGGAGGAAAACAGACCACCACTACTCAAGTAAATACGTAATTTACGGGACAGTTTCGGCTACACAAAGATACTCCTCTGAACTAAGGGATTTTTTAAAAAAGACTTTTTATAAGATAAAAGACTTTCCTTAATATAGTAAGTCTTATATGTATGAACATTTGTCTGCATGAATATATGTGTGTGGTGTCCAGAAGGGGGCGTAAGATCCCTGGACCTGGAGTTAAAGATGGCATATGCTACCACGTAGATACTAGGAACTGAACCTGGGTCCTCTGCGAGGACAGCAAGTGCTCTTAGCCTCTGCGCCATCTCTCCAGCCTCTGCACGAAGGCATAAAAACACAAAACCAAAACCAAAAACCAAAACCTCTAGACTTTCTGATATAAAAACAATGAGAAATTTTCTAAGTATCCATTTCTCTACAAAGAATGAGAACAGAATAATTTGGTTTTATCCTAAAGTAATTCTCAACTATAGCTGACGCTAGTAGAAAAGACAGGCTTAAAATAAACATGCACGTTCAGCACGGTCTCATTATCTCGGAAGTGGCTACGGCTGAACTCAAACGATGCTTGTCTATTATTGTCCCAGCAACTACAAGCACCCACTTGCTGCCAGGCCCTTACTAACAACAGAGACAAGCCACTATGTCCCTGCACTCAAATCACCTTTATGCAAACAAGCCTCCTTATCCACAAGACCCATGGAGACCAGACAAGTCCCACCTGTCCAACACCAAACGCCGGTGGGATGTGAGCCCAGTTAAGGCCACACACGGTCTGAGTCACCTAATGATTTACGGATTGTCTCGCTCGGAAAGATAGCGCCTAATGGGCATCTACAAAACACCAAGCCTTGTTCTAGGTCCAAGCTTTGACCCCACTGGAGACACAATGAACAATGCAACCTTACTGCTGTCGCAGGACTCACTGGAGAGAGACGAACAGATCACAATCTGCCAAGTGCTGCACAGGAAATGGAGGGGGGTACAGATGAGAGCTAACAAACACCCCAAGGTGACATCTGAATGGCGATGACAACTGAACGACGGCCTAGGATAAGGACATTCAGAGGAAAGAACAAGGTCACAGCCTGAAGACAGGTGTGTGACTGGCCTCGGAAGAGCAGCAAGGAGACTAGCGTGTGGAGGACAGGACAGGGCAGAAGGCAGGCTTCTTCAAGGGCTATGGCTTTGACCTAACAGACAGAAGGACTGGACGGCTTGGGGTCAAGAGCTGACCTGGTTTTCTGTGGAACATTTTCGACTCTGAATAGGTTGAGCAAAGACCGTCAAGTACAAGAAAGCAGGTGATGTGGGGAAGAGAGAAGGTGGCTCAGACCAGCACAGTCAGACTACATGTGCCTTCTCAAGCCAGTGGCAATTTGGTATATTTGAGGCAAAGTTTGAGGTCTGATACCACCAAGGTTTCTGACAAGGGTAACTAACTAGAGAGTTGGGGCAGCTGGGGAAGGGACACAGGAACAACAGGTGAGAGGTTGAGTCGTCCATGTTGAGTGTGTCATATGCAAGAAGCTGACTGAACAATGGGTAGGGATGTGGGGAACAAAGCAGCTGGATATATGGATCAAAGCTCACAAACGGGGCCAGTAAACTGGCTTAGTGAGTAAAGGGGCCTGCCACCAAGCCTAATTACGTGAGTTCAATCCCCAGGTCCCACATGGAAGAAGGCGAGAACTGATTCCTGCAATCTGTACTCTTTGACACGTGCACACACACATATACACACAACAGACACATGCACGCACATGTGCACACTAACAAACGGTGATAAAAAATTTAAACTCATAAATCCTGACTTTCATCGACCATAGTGGAAGGGGGAGCAGTGACTGACTACAAAGTGGGGAGGATAATGACCCTGTGTAGATTAAGTGACGTAACATCACCAATACTTTACACAGCACCGGAGACACGGGACATTCTACCAAAAACCAAACCTCTCTCACCGTGACACAGTCACAGTGTCACCGACAAAATTCCTGAGACCGCTTCGAGCATGAGATGTCGAAAGGACACAAGAATCAAATGGGAAGTGCTGTTTCTGCAGACTAAGAGACATACTACTGCACATACACAGTGGTCACACACACACACACACACACACACACACACACACTCACACCCTGTTTACCTTTCACGGTTCCCATTTT